GAGGTTTGGACCTCCTGTCTGACGAGTTCCTGCCGCCGCTGTTGGTTAGTTCTCCCAACGGGGAGAACGTCACCGCGAGCTGTGGCAGCGTGGTTTGTGCCGGAGTGAACCGGCGTTCCCTTCGGGGTAGGTGTCTGCGGGGATCGCTTGGCGACCCATTTGGCAGACCCTTGCCCTTTGCGCTCGACCCCCGGCTTGGCGTTGATCGATTGTGAGGGAACGGGTTCTTCCGATGAGACTCGGGTAGAACCCGTAGGTGCAGAGGCTTTGACCGTCTGAGGTCGGCCTCGACGCACGACTCTGTGACGTTTGCGGGACGCATCGCCACCAGAGGAGGAGGAGGACAAGTACTCTTCGTACTTGGCCTGGTCGAACTCAATTTCTAGGGACTCCACTGTCGTCCCTACAGCAACCTCATCAAACTGAGCCACCACCATTTCACTCGATGAAACAGCTTCTCCCACTGTGGTCGCCATCTTCTGTAGGGTGAATATTTGATTTCCCGAAAAAAGGGAGTTTCGTTTGTATTTATAAGAAAGCTTATTACAAACTAATGATCAAATAGTTACAACAGAAGCAGAGGGAAGGCCCTCTTTGTTTTGTGTGGGGACTTTTAGGTGGCTACAGGATGCTTCGCTCGATGCTCGTGTCGAGTCTGCTTCCCTTGGACCGTTCGAATGAGGTTGCTGGAGAGCTTCAGTTCGCAGTAGAAGCTCAACTTGAGAGAGTTCGGGTCTGTTTAGTTCGCCGGCGATCGGAGCTCGGAACTAAGCAGTAGTGCTGCAATGCAAAGAAAGTTGTGCAGAGAGCTTGGTCTCAACTCTTTTTCCTAAGTTTTGCGACCTCCTCTCCAGTGTGCCGGAAGAGGCTTTTAAATGGGAGAAGGACAACTTGACTCCTCCTTGAATTGTGGGATGTGACCACATCTTCTTCAGAGACGTCTAGCTGTTCCTCGAAACCATGATCGGTCATTCCAGGGATTGTGCTTTATGTCCTGTCACCTACGATGGGAAGGCCCATTCTTGTATGTGAGGCAACAAACGACTACTATCCGAGTGGATTTGACCAGCATTAATGAACCGCATTTATGAGTCCGCAGATCGATGAGGCGTCTGTCCGATCACCAGTACTGTGCGTGACCGCCCGGCGTGCTTTGAGCACGACGCTTTCTCCTTTCCGGTCAGGAGAGGCGGTGAAGTAGGTGTACAGTACTCGAGTGAGTCTAGCCAGCTTGCCGAGTGCCGGCGGACCCAGCTCCAGACTCAGACAGCCGAGGTGAGTCGCATTTATGAATGCTCAGGTTGACTCGACACCTGTCCAGCTCCTTCGCGCTGTGCGCACTGTGGGCGGCCGTTTTGACGGCCCTGGGGTACTGTGCTCTCTCTCCCTTTGGGTCGAGAGAGGTGGGAAGGCCCACCTCAGCACGTGGGGTAGTGGATACCCAGCTGTACTGACGGTTTTGGGGCTTGCTGGCGGATTCGACTCCGAACTCGGGCAGGCGAGTTGAGCGAAGAGCAAATTTCCGCCATCCTGATCGCTCCTGACTCATGCTGGCGAGTCGACCGTTAGGCGAACCTGGATTTGAGCACAGTCGACGTCTACGCGGTTTAGGTCCGTGTCAGAGAACTGGGCGTGCGAACTCTTCTCGTAGACAAATTCCCTGTAGACCCATAGAGGTATTTTTTACCGTCTACAAGACCCCCTTCAAAGTTTTCGGACCTAAACTGGCTTGCGTGTGGTCTGGAACACTTTGAATGAAGAAACTGTTGGCGAAGCAAGTGCCTTCGATTTCTCTTAGGATTTTTAGCAAACCCTCAGCTATCAACGGGTTTGATGTGCCTTTACCGATTACCGTTTGAATCGGGCTAGCCATACTATTCTCCTCAGTATGATGAGTTGTCGAACAGTTTCTCTTAGGCTTAATGCTAAGATTTCTGCTCTAACCCTTAGCCATCTGGGGCGTGGGTTTCAACCGTTTAAGCAAGGTCATTCTTTTGGCTTTGTTCGTAATTTTACCTTTGAGGGCGAATGCATCGTCAAGGCGAAATTAATTTTTGAGAGCCAATTCTCGCGCGACTCGTGGGGTTATGCCCAGTATTTGCAGGCGAAACCCTTCCTTTTGTAGGCGGAACCGGATCTGACGAGAGATGAGCCACGCGTCTGCTGACAGAGCCTCGTGCTTCCCAGCTAAGACATTGGATCGTGGCGATCGTGACTTGACAGCACGATCCTCGTGCGTTTCGCCCTGCGACGTATCGTGGCCGTGGTTCTCGGACTCAACCGTCGGATTCCAACGCTAATCTCGGTCCCTTCGATGCACTGAGGGTGATCTGGGCCGTCGAATTTGATCGTGGCCCCGTTTCCTGTCCGTTAGGGTTTTCGCCTTTCGAGGGCAGTCGTGGTCACGTGGGCAACTCCGCCCTTCTAAATCAGCCGTTTTCCTCCATTGGGATTTACCGTGCTTTCAAATCTCGAAAGGGAACATCCAAGGAAAGAATTCCCGCTTCCTCTTACAATGGCTCCGAAACCTAAGAGGTGCAAAGTGAGGGGTGCAGGTCCCGGACGTTACTCCGACCGTCTCTCTGCCGGCATGCCTGCTGGTGCTCTGGAGTCGTGCCCAGGTACGTTGATGGATTCGTTGGGCGATCCCTTGCAGGCCTTAGGCGTCGGATTTAGGGAGATGAGTGTTGCTTATTTCCCCGATTTGGGGCAAAGTTTGCCCTATTTTGCCTTTAGAGGATGAGTACTGTCCCCGCGGGCGAATTCTCCAGTGGGGAGGAGACGAACCCCTTTTTCGTAAGGCGAGTTCGGCCCTTCCCATTAGAGGGGAGTGTAGTCCGTAGGGACAGACCTCGTTCGAAGTGGGTTCCCCCTTTCGATAGGCGATTTCGCCTTCCTATGTTCGATGGGCGATTTCACCTCTACAGCGGATTTTGTCTCAATTGACTTTCTATTTCTTGTTGCAGCGACCTTCCCTGATGAGGCTTTCCCGGAGGGTGTGGCCGTTGGCCACGTCGGGGCTAAGAGCTACACGGCCCCTTCTCGTTTTCCCTCGTTGGCTCCAGTACCCTTGTTCACTGCTGATAAGCTGCATGGTCTGGTACAGAGGGTCACGGATGGTCATCACTTGACCCTGCGCGAGCTGACGACCAATGCGGCGCTGACAGATGAGGCCAGGGCAGAGCTGCCGAAACCTCAATTTCTGTTCGGCGACTCCATGACCGACCCTTCTGCCCTGTTGCTCAAAGAGAGCCGGTGGTTCCGCACGGTAGAGGGGACCCATTATTACCTCCCCAGCATGCCGAGAGGGTTTTCGATTGTTGAGCTGCGGTCCCTCGCGATTCCTCGGACGATGAACTGGGATTTGACCCCCACTCAGGACGGGGTCACTTGTGGCGTCTTTACGGGTTCTACGGCTGGGTATGGAGTGGAGAGCTCATGTAAGCGCGTGACGGGTCTGCGCCCTGGCTTAGTGTCTGCTGAACCGCCCGTGGGGGAATCGACAGCGGTGGCGGAGACTTTCCGTCACCGCTTCTTCCGAGTCGGTGGAAGCTTTCCCCCGAAGGACTTTAGAGCCCCGGGGTGGGTTTACTCTGCACCTGGCAGTGACACGTGGTGGTCCAAGATCACCGACTATGTTTTGGCCGAGAATGCTGACCTCAAGGGCACAGAGCTGTATGTGGCCATCGAAGCCACTCGACATGGCCTGCGGATCAACGCTTCTCAATTCCATAGCATTCTGGAATTGTATTGTGCGGAAAGCGGCACGTTTTTCACTCCCAATGGTGAGCTTGGTATCACCCCCTTCGAGATGCACGACGTGTCAGGGCTACCTCTGGGAGACTTCCCTTATGAGGAATACGTCCCTGATCAAGATGAGATCGATCAGCTGTCGGACAATTCCCCTCTGGCGGTTGAAACTCTGTGGGAACATCACGTGAATCCTGTAGTAGGCCCGACCCTCTCATTATACTGACAAGATTTTCAAATGCATGAGGCCGCATTCTAATATAGTCTCTACAGCTGTGACTATAGCCAGAAAATACGCAGCATACGTGGGCATTCCTAGACTCTATTTTCTGTTTTTTCCCCTCCCCATGGTGATAGGTGACAGATTTTCTTCTAGAACGCATTCTCATTACACATGTCAACACAGTGACGATGGCAGACATAGTAGCATTACTCGATATCCTCATTAACGCTTCGTCATCAAGATCTTCCATCTACAATACCAGCAAAATTTCATTCTTATACATAGACAAATAATGGGATCGAATTTATAATTCTAATACTTTCAGCGGATATTGAGTATAGTAAAATTATATAACTACACACAGTAAAATTATATATAGTAAAATTAAATCAACCACGAACTCATATTCTAAACGATATTTAAACTGTGCAAATATTTTCATCTAGCCTTCATATACACGTAGGACATCAGCAAGCAAAGATAAACATCTAAATTATGTAAGTATAGAAAACTACAGTTTGACATTTCGAAAATTTCTGGGGAGTAAACTATGCAACAAATATATTCAGTTTTTCCTCACAATATTGGAACTCAGACTCTTCTATAATTGCCTACCTATATTAAGTAAATAGTGACAATTTAATAAAATCATATAAAATTAAAAAATTAGGGAAATGAAGGCTATACCTTATCGTCGGTGTGGAGTAGATCCTGATGATCAGAGAAGGAACTTGAACCCCTAAATCAGAGAACAAGACGGCAGATCTGGAGTTCAGATCAGGGTGGAGTTTCGATTTCAATTGAATCAGAGAAGATCACCTCCATCAACGAAGGCCACATGCACTATGCAAAGCCCCATCATCAGAAAATCGCAGACTTGTAAAACCCCAACATCATAAAAATCAGTTTGAAATCAAGGGCTACGTGCGGTCGAGGTGTCCCAGCAGGGATCTAATCAACCATTATAGATCGATTTGTCGCCGATGGATGCCTCGGCTACCGGATTTTTCTCTTGATTCGGCGCGAAATGGAGGAGGGAAACAGAGGAGGGAAAGGTAGAAGAGAAGAGGCAACTGAAGACGAGGCGGTGAGGTTATCAACCACGGGTCAAGTTCATCGAGTGAAGAGAAAAGGAAACACAGCGTCACGTGGTGTGTCAGATTTCCAACCCATTTCCTCTCAAAAAAAGGGGAAATGGGAGATCCATAAAAAGCTACTGTTTGTCAGGTTTTTGGCAAACCTTTTCCTAAAAAAAATGGGAAACAAACGCGTTTTTTGGAATCCAAAAAAGCCTAAAATGTTACTTTTTGTTCCATAACTGCAGTTTTCCAAAAAAACAACCCCAACCAAACAGCCCAATTAAAATACCAAACCATTAAAAAAACTATTGATACGTAGAAGCACATATGTTCCCCCCCCCCTACCATGAGTCCATTCATACGTATGAAGACACAAAATTAGATGAATAAGTTTGAAATTAAAATCCAAAGCATTGAAGTTAATTTACCTGATCTCGTGCATGGGAAAATCGCGGAAGCACCGTTCACTTTTTTCCCCAATTGTTTCTTTTCAATGTGTGGGATAATTTTTGCCCCAATTGTTTCTTTTCAATGTGTGGGATAATTTTTGAGAGGGGAACTTATGGCTATATATATAGGTAGTAAAATTAGTGGGATAATTATGATAAATTATCCCAATTCTAATTCAAGCAGAATTCTACTTGACTAACACACAAAATAAATAATACAATTCTAGTTCTACAAAAGTTCTACTTGACTAACACTATAAAAAAATATCTCATTTCCTAATTCTATGTGACTAACACCTTAAAAATTTATCCCACAGATTATCCCAATTCCAGATTTAAGTTCTAGGTGACTAACCCCCCCTAAGGTGATTTCTAGGAAAAAAAACCTAAATATAATACATCGGATAGGGATCCTCTTCAATTAGAGAGTAATTGGAGAGTATCAATTTAAAGGGCAAAGATGAATCCGCGTAGAATTTTCACTATCACAATGTTAGTTTTTGCAAAACTAGTTTTAAAGACAATAGTTATTTTGAAGATAATATTTAGAGTCTTATGTGCTTCTTCTTAACGTTTGAAATTAAAATAAAAAATAAAGATTTGAATAATTGGACACTGTCACGTTACCAATTAGAGGAACCAAATCCATAATGCACCATTGATTTTCTCTGAAATTTTTTAGCAAACAAGGGCGGAAGCAATTTTTCCCTATTTTCTCTCTCGATTAATTCCTAGGATCCTAAGGTGGGAAAGAAAAAATGTTGGGGCGGCGGGAAAAAAAATACAAGATAAGGTAGTGACAAGTGGGCCTCCACCATCGCAATATCCTCTCATCAACGGTCTAGATCCCCTCTCAGAAAATCGAATACATAATAAATACCCCCTTATCCTTTACCCCGTCACACTCTACCGTTCCCACTCGGAAACCCTAGAAATTTCCTCCCAAAAAAGAGAGATGAACTCCATTTCCTTCTCGTCCTCCTTCATCCCCACCAGAATCCCAGCTCCTCGCCGGAGGCCCTCGATCCCCGTCGCGGTTTCTCCGGCGATGGTGGCGGTGC